AGGGGGAAAACCCCCTAAAAGTGTCATATGTGTGAGCAAAAGACCAAATTTTGTTTGTGGGTCTTATGGACTGCTTTTATCATGTTTTTTTGGTCCTTTTTGAGCAGATGTGGGCACTATAAATTGTCCTTGCTATGCAGATTAGGAACAACATGAGTGTGAATAAATTATGACAGTTTGTTTATTTATGTGTGGACTGGCCCTTTAAGAAGCTTCATTTTCCTCACAGTGCTTGAGGTTTAGTGTGTGCAGAAATGTAGACTAATTATCTTTCATTTAAAATACAATAAACCTAATGCTCAACATGCTCAGAGAAATGATAAAAGAAGAAGAAAAGCCATTAACACAACGGTAGGGCAATGTAGGGCAAACAGCCTGCAAACATGATAGCATAATGATACCCACTACTCTCCTGGCACGAGTTCCTCTCCCTGTCTACGGAGTGTAACCTGTATTCTTGCCAAGGTAATTCAGGAGCAATTCTGCAATCAAATACCTCGGAAAGCCGCTCTTGGCAAGCCACTATCCGCAGTGCCTCTGTCTCTCGCAGCACATTGTTTTGCTTGTTATCTTTGGACAGCCATGATGCTCATGGGTTTCCTTGGTGAATTTTAGCCACCATTTCATCTCATATATTCTCGTTAAGCTCAGTAAATACGAACAGGAGGACAAAATCTCCATCATATCTGGTAGCACTTAGATTGGAAGCTGGTTAGCCTTTAAATCACACTCTCTTTTCTTTGAACACTCATCATTAACAGCTTTCCTTGGTTCGCATATAAAAGTTTACTTTTCAGAGGCGGTACGAGAACACACTCGCACATGTAGATCATTGTTTGTGACAGCTCAGAGGCTTATTCAATATTTGCAATGTCCCAGCCTTCCGTTTCTATTGGTTACTGAAATGGGTGCACTCTTACAAATAGGAAAGTATATCTTGTTGAGGGTTTGTTATTTCTGAAACAAGCACTAACTTAGTCTTTACCAAGGTATAAAAGATAATCTATATAAATCATGCCAATATGATTTAACTTACCAAGGTTCAAAGATTCTAATGTCTTTTTGATTAGGGGAAACCAGGTGTGTTGTAACACCATGTATTTAGCCACAAGGAAATGAGCTACAGGAATGAAATCGCTGTCATACATTACCATGTCTATATGTAAAAATATAAAGTATTCAAAAAAAAAAAAAAAAAAAAAAATTAGATTGAGGTAAATCAGTAAAATGTCAAGTCTGGCTCATAATTTGATTAGCGATCAGGTTAATGAATGTTAAATGAGAGAACTGGTCTCATTTGAATCAACTGGTTTTCTTGTTTGATTTAATAATTTCACACAAGCTTTTTATCTACAAAAATTATATAAAAATGTTCTATACATTTAACATTTCAAGTTAAATGTATACACTTATTATAATATTTTACCATAAATTCATGCACGCTATTTAAATACCAATATGTTTTATATTCGTATATTAGTAGGATAGCAAGTTGTAACAACTTTTTTTACTTGACTCTTGAGTTTAGCAAGAAATTGAGGTTCCTAATCAACATTTGTAGCAGATACATGTTAGAATGTCAAAGTTTGAAATACATGGTGCATTAAAAAACACATTGATTTTATTACACCATTCCTGATTTCCCCTACTTACATTTTACTTAGTTTAAAATGCAGAGAGATCAATAAGGCATCTCTTAATATTCAGAAATTAGAATAAAATATTCATTTGAAATTAAAATCAGCCATTTAAAACCTTGTCGTTCCAAACCTGTAAGACATGCGTTCATCTTACACAAATGACATCAACACCTTTTAAAATAATTTTTGATAAAAAAAGAGCAGTTTTAAACCAAAAAGAAGTGTTGTAAATCTGTTTGGAATTAAGTTGTTTTTCATATAAAGGATTCCGGGTCAGTGATATTAGATTGTGTGTGTATGTATTTTTATTGTACTTACCCTGTAAATACATGGAACAAGAGGGTAACAAGAACCACTTTAATTTACGGCCCGTAATGTCACACTTACCCTGTAACTACATGAAACAAGAGGGTAACAAGCACCATTTACCCTGTAACTACATGGAACAAGAGGGTAACAAGCACCACTTACCCTGTAACTACATGTAACAAGAATATATTTCCCAGTATTTAAAAAAAAAATGCAATAGTGTTAGCTTTACTTGCCTTAAAACATGTACGCCCAAACTTAAACATCTGCACTTTTGCTATCAAAAAAAAAAGAAAAGAAAAACCTGTATAAATGCAAAGATATGTACCCTGTAATTTTAAAAAAGCCTACACAATATGTATTGGTACACCATTATTTCAAAAAGGTACCTAAATTGCTCACAAATGTTGTATCATAAGTATAATATAGTATATAAATATAGTATAATAAGTACCCCTTAGATCTATAATAGCCTACTTACAGTATAAATAATATTTTATATTCCCCAGACTTTACATTTTGTTCCCTTATACTTACATGCAAGTACTTTATACTGTATGTACACTATAATTACTGAAAGTTGCGCTGTAAATTTGTCTTAATTACGCAGTACTTTCCGGGCTGTAATCTACAGCCAAAGTGTTACCAAAATATCTTCATTTGTGTTATGAAGATACACAAAAGTCTTACGGGTTTGGAAACGACATGAGGGTGAGTAATTAATGACAGAAGTTTCATTTTTGGGTGAACTAACCTTTTAAGGTTACAGCGACTCATAATGATTAAGCATGCAGCTCTGAATTTAGAATTTAGCATGTGAACTTCACATTTGAATGGAAAGCTACTAGCCTCTCCACTCCTGGACCAGAACATCACCACATCCTTCATGATGTCATACACAAATCAGCAACGTGAGCACAATGAATTATGCTGAACTTCAAAGTAGGTGTGTTCTGGTTTGTGGTTGTAAGTATCTCCAACACAGCTGCCTTTAAGCCTAATGAAATATATCAAACCGTACCCTGGAAGCTTTGAGTGACTCTGTCTCCAGCAGATCTGAAATCAATCCAACACAAAGAAAGCCACAAAATAATTTCCACTTGTTGGTTTGTTAGAATAGTTTAAGCCACGTATCCATAGAATCACACAGCAACACTCTATCCATAACACAAACTCTGTAGTGTAAAGGCAACTTTGAGCCTGATTCAACAAGTAACAACACCACTAATACAGGGGTTGATAATCACAACCAGTCCATCTTTGCGTGCAAAGTCCTTGAAGATTTTGAGCTGTCTAAAAAGCTTCATGTCCCTCCTCACCCTTTAATCCCACGTCCAGACAGACTGATTCTAGCTCAGAAAAAGGCACAGCCTTTGCTCATCCTCGCACTGCAGCACCATGGGATCGGAGTCCACTATAATAGATAAAGTGTGCAGTGAGATTATCTTACCAATGAAAACCAGCACCTGTACATGTCCATGTGACATGTACAGAATCAAGCAGTGCCTTTCAACTAATGATGAGCACAACATTTTTAATGTAAAACAATTGAATTTTTTTTTGAATTCCTTTGTATGTGAGACTATTTCTTAGAACAGTATTATTTTTGTTAACAAAAACTAAAATAAAAAATAAATATATAAATAAAAATAACTGGGAAAATTGAACTAAATTACATTTTAATGACTGCAAACCTAAATTAAAATATATTTTGATACACGGTAAAAAAAAAAAACTAACAATTATTACAGCCTGCCTGCATTAAACATGAAAATGCTACTATATAGATAAACAATTGTGAAATTTTAAAATCATACCAGTTAGCGCATTAACTTTGGCAGTTCAAACCAACAATGATTACACAAACAAAAACTAAACTAAAATGAAATGACAAATTGAAAGTTAGTAAGAATAAAAACTAAAATAATAACTGTCTTTTAATTCTTAAATATTTCAAATTCATTGTATGCCTCTAAATACTAAAACATTGATTATAGTTTTGATTTTCAATGTGGCCTTAGGCTTTAAAAAAGATCCCACTAAACCTACAGTACACCATTGAAGTCCTTAATATGTCTGTGGTGCTCTGTTTTCATTTTAAACTACATCTAGACAAGGTGCAGTCTTCCTGACCTTTACTACAAAGCCTTCTCTATAAAACCAAATGCCAACAATGCCACTTCATTGTTAAAACAGAATACCAAAGAATGTGATTCTCTACCCTATCATTTAGTTTCTCGCTCTCTGTTGCCTTCCTCCGACACCAGATAAAAGCGATAAGAGGCAAGTCTCTTTGTTTGCAGAAGATTTTTATTTACAGGACATGCATAAGACCAGGATTCAATATCAGTCCTGAGCATGCCTGGAATCCTTATGAGAGCTCAAGCCATCTCCATTCTGTCATCTCTTTCCGCATCTATCCTCACTTCCCACTATCCGCAATTCCTTCAGAGATTGACCCACATCTTCACAGTAGCACTGTGTAATCACCATGGAGTGAGTGTCAGTCTTTCTGTGATTTACAGTCAGCATTATACACCAAATATATACAGAGCTTTCAAAATATTCCCTCAGAGATGTTGCATGCATTACTGATCAGAGGGCTTTTTAATCTTATTATCCAGGTCAAGAGGGGGGAGAAGTGAGCAGAACCCTGGCCAAATCCAACAAGAACACTTGAAATTTATGAAATAATTTATAAAAAATTTATGAATAAGTGCTGCTTAATTTTAGATGGCTATAGATCAATACTTCATATGGGTGTGTATAGGCTTTTGGGAATTTTTTTTCTGTCAGGTTAAATTTCACAAGAAAATGGCTAAATGAAAACGAAATAAATATTTGATGAAGCATCTTATTGCTTTGTTGTGAAAACGATATAAACACAGATCTCAGGAGGTTGAAAACCAATTAATTTCTGGATTATCCGAAAGCTTGTAAATTGAACACACTATTTTACTGAAATTTTGGTGAATGCATTGAATTCTAAGGGCAATAATACAAATCAAACACAGTTTCCCACAAAACACATAGTATAGTAATAAAATGTACCTTTTTAGATGAGAATAAAGTTCATCATTGCTCGTCTTCTATTGTCAGAAGGTTGCTGCTGATCTGCTGGTGGTTCCCCTGAGAAGTGAGACAGATGACAGTGGGGACACCTGCTTGAGTATAAGTCCCCAGTCCCCTCAACAGCTTTAGGCCCACAGGATCAGACGCCTACCCCAAAAATAGAGCTCAACCCATCTGCAAATATGAGACCAAAATATTTGTCAAATACCTTTGTTTGTCTGTAATCGTATGATATGCTTAATGCAATTTCAAAATACGAAAAGGATCGCTTTGTATCCTTACACACCAGAAGTGATGTAATCAATCAGAAAATCCTGAAAATCTCGAGGCGAGAATCAATCAGAATGGATAATGCACAAGATTAAGAACCAGCAGTAAATTGTGGTGAATTCTCCATTAGTCTGGATGAGGAGTTTAAACAAATCCAAGGAGCTTATAGTATCTTACCAATGGTTTATTTTCGGGGTTTGTGGGGGGTGGGTGAGGAAGCTTCATTCTCAAGACACCAAGCCATCTGTTTGCTCGTTTCCTGGTGGGTCCATATCTAGACCAGAGTGATTGATTGACAGCTCTGTAATCCAAACCTTCTTTTCTCACTTGTGAGGTCCACATATAAACCTGTAAATTTCATGAAAATACAGTATCTTATACAAGCATATCTCTGGATTTCAACCATTTATGAAAATGAATGGCTGCACATTGAATAAAAGAATGTAAAGTGTATTAGACTGCCTACTTCTAATTAGATATTTATGAAGATGTATTGCATTGATGTATTTTCACACCATGATAACCTATAAGAGTTACACAGTTAACATGGTTTGCCTTATGTATTTTAATTCAGTGGAAAAATCTCACTGATAACATTTTAGTAATGATTGTGCAGTAGAGGCCAAATTAAATGTATCCATTTCAATTCTTAGCAATTCAATTTTAATGAAAGTTGTCCTCATTGAGCTGTCCTCTAAAAACTTTATGAAAGTACTGCATGACAAATAATGGCCGGGTTAATCCTGGGAGCCATTCTATGAACTGAAAGGAACCATTATGAATTACACTCAGAAAAAAATATCTGGTTGATGTACTAGTATCAAATTGGCAATCATAAAACATATGCTTACTGTAACTGAGTTGTATTAGACAATATGACAAGAGATACAAAATGTAAATGTCTATGCAAATTATATTTAGGCCAATACGTTATTCTGGAAAGTTTTTAAGCCCCAGTGTGTTGTTCTTTGGGGTTGTGCCCTGCTCTGAATTCAAATCATATTTAGAGGGCAGCCATTTTGCAATCTGCCACGACAGATGGCTGTTTGTAAAAATAAATAACCTGTCCCCTTCCCTACACATGTTTCGAGACAGATCCAAGAGAAACCAGCCAAATCAAAGTGTTGCACAATTTATGATGTCCCTCCCAAGGCGAATGACAATTTAACACGGGGGTCTTGTAGACCCCTTCTGACATTTTTGTCTGAGAACATCCAGAATGACAGTCGCCCCTCTCTTATTATACATAGAAAAATCAGATAGAGATTACTTTAACTTCAAAAATTAAAGGAATGATCACTGACCTAATTACTTTTATTACTAAAGTTCCTATTTTATGTTGCTATAGCTCAATTGGTAAAGCATGGAGCTTTTCAATTATCTCACCAACCTTTACCAACAGATACATCACTGCCGGTGTTGGAGGAAATATCTATTACACCAGTTTTCAAAGCTTCTCAGTTTCCCCAAGCTATACCCTTGATGTGGGGTAAGAGGCTTTAGTTTATTCTTTGAGTAAAACAATTTTTTTCCAAAATCCTTTTTGAAAAATGTCCATCAGAAGATCAAAGCTTTCCATGAGCAATGGCAACAATGTTTACCATTAGTCAAATAAATTCAAAGCCTTTATGGATCATATTCCTTGTTTTATCTTACTACTAAATGGAATATCATCCATGAAAACTTTTTAAAATGAAAAGATTTTCTTTCAAAGCCAAATTTTAGCCACGGGCAAAGGTAACCTAGTCTTTATTCTGTCATGCTTCCATTACCAGCAATTACATGACGGTAACATTCCATTATGCATTTGTTTTTCAATCTCCTGTATCAGCACTAAAATCACGTCTATCTTGTCTGTCTTTTCTCAAAGCCTTACCAACCTACTTCGACTCTGAGGAGTAACATAGAATTCTAATAAACTGCTATCACTGAACCACAGGGGAAGGTTCTTATCTGAAGGGGCCCAGCTTGTATTACCGTCAAGGGTTATTTTTTTCCACCCTGTGAAAAAGGACCAGATTTCTGTCTTTGTTCAAATGCACCCAACCAAAACTCATAAAGCATCCCTCCCTTGGCCAGTGCATGCCATTTTTCTTATCCTTTCTGAGATTTTATATTTGGTTGCCAAGGGAACAGAGGGCACAAGCTCTAGAGGTTATAGATGTTTATAGGATATGAGGTTAAAGCATGCAAATGCACATGCACCCACAATCCTTCAGCTTATTTATGGCAATAAGACCAGATTTTGCACCTGTATAGACGCATGAAGCCCCATGCTCTATAATGTTGGACAGAGTGTCAGCGCAATATGGAAAAATCAGGAGTGACGGCTGCAAAGAGCGAGGCCTATCTCCGAAACTCATGAAAGTAAATGAGCTACTGAAATGTGTTTATCTGGAGACTAGGGTACGACTAAACTGATTGAGGATCATTAAGGTCTGAGAGCAGATAGAAAGGGGGAGATTCACTCTATAGTCCACTGGGAATCATATTCATGGCTTCTCTCACCCTTGATCATCCCATTGTAATCACAGCATGAAGGGAAATTCAATCCTGTTCAATTTCAGCTTTTCATTGAGAAATGTCATTAAATGAATGTGTAACAGAGGGCAGACAGGCCTAATTCAAATTAGCTGTAACATTTTGTCTCACTGAATTGTTTTCATTGTTTCAGATTTAGGTCGCTACTTCTTTTTCTGAATCATGCAAAGTCAGTTAGGCCCCCATTTTATGGAGGTGTATTAGATTATTGCCATTCTATTGTTCATGTCACTCACAGAGTTTTTAATTACTTTTCCTGCTGAGGTCATATTTCATTTAGACATCTCTAAATTGTGCTAACATATTTATGGGAGAATGTTATTGAATATAGCCCACTAACAGAAGTTTATAAATCACTGGATTCGGGTATATCAAAGTTAATTGCTTATGATACTGATACAGAATGATACCATTTATGAACATCCATCCATCCATCCATATGCCAGGATCCAAGATTTTCCAGCAGAAAATTTCCAGAGCATAACGCTGCCTCAGCCGGCCTGCCTTCTTCCCATAGTGCATCCTGCTGCCATCTCTTCTCCAGGTAAACACGCTCACGCACCCAGCCATCCACCTGATCTAAAAGAAAATGTGATTCATCAGACCAGACAACCTTCTTTGCAAAGTTTCCATTGCAGGCACTTTTGGAGGTGGACAGAGGTCATCATGTGCACGCTGACAGACTGTGTGTCCTGCTGACACCTTTCTATGAGCTGCATTAAGTTTTGCTACATTTTGAGCTACAGTAGCTATTCTGTGCGATCAGACCAGACGGACTAGCCTTCTCTCCCCAAATGCATCAATAAGCCTTGGGCGCCCATGACCCTGACGCCAATTCACCTGTTGTCCTTCCTTGCACCATTTTTGGTAGGTACTAGGGATGCACCGATACCATCTTTTTCAGAATCGATCCGATCCGATACCAAAAATTCTGAGTATCGACCGATACAGATACCGATCCGATACCAGCGCAGTTTTTTTTAAAATCAAGTAGAATTTGTATAACTCTGTGTGTTGAACTGATAATCACTCTTTTGTGTGTTAAACACAATCTACTTAATAGGTACTAACCACTGCATACCAGGAACAGCCCACAAGATGCCGTTTTGGAGATGCTCTGACCCTGTCTTCTAGCCATCACTATTTGGCCCTTGTCAAAGTCACTCAGATCTTTTAGCTTTTCCATTTGTCCTTTTTTTAACACATGGAATTCAAGAACTGACTGTTTACTTGAAGCTTAATAAATCCAACCTCTTGACAGGTGTCATTGTAATGATGTAATCAATGCTATTCACTTCACATGTCAGTTGTTTTAATGTTGTGGTTGATCAGTGTGTATGTATATATCGAAATTATTCAACCCTCATTGCAAACCAGGTTAATTGGCAAAATGTACAGACTTTTAGCTGTTTGCAATGAACATATCTAACAAAAGTAGTTGAAATAGCTAAACACAACAAAGGTGTCAAGTGGTTTCCCCAAATTTAACTGAAAATGCAACTTTTAATGACTTCTGCAGTCTCAAAATTATTCAACCCCCTGAATAGAATCCCTCACAACAGCACAAATCTGCAAAACAGGTGTTGTCTCAAGCACACCTGATGCAACTAATCAAGGGTTTCATTAGTTGCACCAGGTGTGCTTGAGCTAGAACACATGAAATATCTGAACAGGGTAGGTTTGTTGAGTGTCACGTTTGACTGCATGTTAGAAATATGGCTAAGTCAAAAGAATGGTCCAAAAAGTTAAGAGAAGATATCATCGCACTTCACAAACAAGGAACAGGATACACAAAAACAGCGAAGGCCCTAAATGTTTCTAGAGACACCGTTGCTGTTGGCAGCATATAGTTCGCAAAAACAAAGTTAAAAGAACAGTGTTTACTCTACCTGGACGGGGCAGAAAAAGAAAGCTACAAGATTTCTGAGACGGAGAAAAAGAGTCGGTTAGAGAAAAACCCTCGAGTGACTGCAAAAGACCTGCAGCAAGACATGGTGGCAACAGGCACTGAGGTTTCATCTTGAATAGTAAGGCGTGTACTAAACGCATGCGGTTTCCATGCCAGAACTCCCAGACGTACACCACTACTGACCCAAAAGCACAAGAGGAAATCCTAGGTGAAAACGTCATGCCAGTGAGGAAGCTGAAGCTTGGGAGTCATTGGACCTTCCAACAAGACAATGAGTCCAAGCATATCTCAAATTCCACCATGGCTTGGGTGCAGAAGTAGTTCTGGAAGATTCTACAGTGGCCATCACAGTCACCTGACTTGAACCCAATAGAAACTCTCTGGTCGGATTTGAAGAAGGCGCTTGCAAAACGCAAATCCAAGAATATTACTGAACTGGAGGCCATTGCTCATGAGGAATGGGCTAAGATTTCTCAGAAACACTGCCAGAAGCTGGTGTCTGGTTATACATCTCGTTTTTAGCAGTTCATAACAGCAAAAGGGTGCTCTACTAAGTACTAAAGATGCTTGCCATGAAGGGGTTGAATAATTTTGAGACAGCAGAAGTCAATAAAAGTTGCATTTTCAGCTGAAATTGGGGAAAACGCTTTGTTTGATTTGTTCATTGCAAACGTGCATAATTTCGATTACAACTGTACACACACACACACAGTAGATAGATAGAAATTAGCTTTAAATATTGAGGGAGTTTTTGTTTTTCAGTCTCTTGCTTTGTTGCTATGACATCCACCCTGCAATAATAATAATTCCATCTGTGTATTTTTTTCTCCCCTTTTAACAATCTTACCCCGTAGCCAATGCAGAGACTGTCCAGAGCTTTACTGGCTGAAGGGAAATAATTA